CTCCTCCTCCTCCTTTTCCTCCTCACCTCCTTCCCTCCCTCTCTCCTTCTCCTTTTCCTTCCTCCTCCTTCTCCTCCTCCTCTTGCTTCTTCTTTTCTTCCTCCTCCTTCTCCTCTTCCTCTCCCCCCTCCCTCTCCTCCTCCTTCTTTTCATCTCCTCTCTCCCTCCTCCTCCTCCTCCTTTTCCTCCTCACCTCCTTCCCTCCCTCTCTCCTTCTCCTTTTCCTTCCTCCTCCTCCTCCTCCTCTTGCTTCTTCTTTTCTTCCTCCTTCTCCTCCCCCTCTCACCCCTCCCTCTCCTCCTCCTTTTCATCTCCTCTCTTCCTCCTCCTCTCAGGATTGGCATTGTGCGCAGCTTCCACAGGCTGATCTTGTAGCCCCTCGCCCCCCCCCCCCATGAAAGAGGCTGCCCGAGACCCCTTTCCCCCACTTTCAGCTGCAGGGCTGTCACCCCTAACGTGACTGGGGGAGACTGGAAAGGCCGGCAGGGCGGGCCCTTGAGCTGGCTGCCAGTCTTGGCCTGGGGCGCTCGGACTTACCACGTCGCCATGGCCACGATCTTCATCACAGCCTCGTTCAGGCACTGGCACACGTTGACCAGGGGAGCCCCACGCTCCCCCATCTTCCCCAGGAGGAGGCCTGGAAGGAGAAGCAGGGTCAGGCCCTCGTGACAGGGGACCCCCATTCATTCCTGGGGAGCCCCCAGCTGTGGCTCAACGGAGAAGACCAAAACCAGACGGGAAGGGAGAGAAGGAGGGAGGGGAATTCCCATCCACCAGTGGTAGTATGCTACCGGTTCGGCCTGGTTTGGTCAAACCGGTACTGAAAATCACTAGCAGTTCGGCTGAACCGGTAGTAAAAAAAAAACCACTGAACTGGTTCCTTCCGTGATCAGCTGAGAGGATAAAAGAAGCGACAAGTGTCACCTCATAAAACATTTTGTATACACGTTTTATAGTTGGCAACAGAAAGGAGGGGGGAGTTACAAAGAGCAGGTGGCAGTGTGGAATCGAAAGTACATTCCATTCATATTTTCTTCAAAGACCGATTAGATGACCGAAGCTTCTGCCTTGCAAAAATCTAATTGGAGAGCATGATTGATGACTCTTGGCTATGGATGTGTTTCATTGGATGGTACCCCCAGGGGGGTGAGGGGGAAAACAGGGTCAAAGGTGACAGTGAATCACGTATCTCAAAGTCGGCTAGGCCCAGGCTAATGCCAGCATGTTAGCTTCTAATAAATCCTTTGTAGTTTTGGGAGTGTGGCTTGAGGCTCATGATTTCATTGGAGTAACTGCCGGAATCCTGACAAGAAGCACGTGGGTAGGTGGGAGGGTCACGCCTAGCTTTTCATTTCTTCATCCTCTCAGCTGATTGGTGCATTAGGGGCAGGCCCACGCACATGCGATCACCCACCGAACCAGTAGCGAAGAAGGTAGGAACCCGCTACTGCTGTCCACCCCATGGCAACAAAAACGCCGCCAAGTCTAGCAGAGATAAGAACCACCCAAGGGGCCCCTCCCTCCATTGTTGAGCTCCCACACGGGAAGAGCCAGCCATGCAGGGCAGAATTGGGAGGTGACTTGAAAATGACCTTCCTTAGGCACGTCAACCTCCCCGCCAAGCCCACTGGGACTCCAGAAGGGTTGCCTCGGCAGATGGGCCATGATCCCCAACCCCTTCGCTTTGGTGGCATCCTGCCATAAAAAGGGGGTGAGGGGTGAGTGTATCAGGGAGGGGGAATGACAGGAGCCAGACTGGGTGCCCATCGGAGACCAAGGGTACAAGGGGCAGCAACCCTCCACCAAAGGGAGGCTGTGGAGATTCTCTCTCATCCCAGCTCCTGGTTGTCCCAAAGGTGCTTTTTCCAGGAGGCAGCTGGACATTCGTGGGTTTTTTTTTCTTGGAAGATGTTTCACTTCTCCTCCAAGAAGCTTCTTCAGCTCTGACTGGATGGTGGGGAAGGGAGAAATTGATACTCTTTGCAGACACCCGGTCATTTGCATCCTTTTAGAGAGTTGTTGAGGCCACTTGGAGGTTTCTCTATAGCCTCAGGATCACCTGAATGGTGCAAATGGGGGCGGAGCCTTCTTGGAACTGCTGAAAGGACCCAGTTGTAGACTGGAGGTAGAGGATATTGTATCCCTCCTCCTGTGTGGAGGGAGGGTCATTTCAGCAGCTCCAAGAAGGCTCCTCCCCCATTTGCACCACTCAGGTGACCCTGAGGACAGAGATTAAAAAAAAACTCCAAGTGGTCTCAATGACCCTCTAAAAGGATGCAAAGGGCCAACTTTGTCTGCAAGGAATATAAATCCTTCCCTTCCCCACTATCCTGTTGGAGCTGAAGAAGCTTCTTGGATGAGAAGTGAAACGTCTTCAAGGAAAATCCAAGGAAATCCTGTTGCCCCCTGAAAAAAGCACCTTGGGGACCCACTAAAGAGGCACCAAACTTTAAGACTGTTCCCAAAACACCTGATTTGCATACTACTGGACACGGACCAGATGACCAAGAGGGGAGGACCCTGGGAGAAGGGAAAATTTCTGGGTTTACGCGGGAATATTCAGATCTGGCTTTGCTCATGACGAAACCACTTGGCCTTTGTTAGGAATAACAAGGTTACCTAACGTAGTTTGGGTAAAATAATATATATAAACTATGATAGTAAGTTTAAGGGTGTGTCACTTTAAACTGCAAAGCATGTAATTTTGGGTGCGGTGCGAAACCGCCATAAGAGGGAGCAAGAGAATCTGCTGGATTGCTGGCGATGGCTGGATTGCTGATGATTGCTGGTTTGCTGGATTGATGATTTGCTAACTGCGCTGTTGAAGGAAGAAAGGAGGTTTGACTTCTTCATATCTCTACTGCGAAGAGATATATTCCTGGACTGATATTTGTAAGTTTACTGACCTCTTTTTCGACACTGGACTTTGCAACTGAATAATCCCCGGACGGACTGAACTAGTGTATGATATATGGACTGTTTTGACTATGCTAAAACTCTTACTGGAATAAACTATTTAACCAACACAGTGGATCTGTTTTACTGAGTGTAAGCTACAAAAACGTTTATCTCACATATTTTTGCCTGCCTGCCTGACTGCTGTGCAGATTCTGCTAGGGTGTATCCCTAACAACCTTGGGGAAAGCATCCCTTTACTCCACAAACGGAAGACAAATGGTCTTTCTTTCCTAAATGCCCAAGCGGGGACAGGGGCGACAGGGACTTCGGCACCCATAATCCCCACAGGCTTGGAGGTTGCTGCATCTGGGGGTGGAAGAGACCAACATCTCATCTTATATATTAACCAATGTACGTTGAATTCACGGACTCTTGGGGAGTTTCTTGTATTTAGTATCAAGACACGGTGCTCACGGTCCCTCTTTTGGGGGAGGGGGATAAAAGAAGGGGGAAGCCCACATTCTCATCCCAAGGGACCCCAGAGATGGGGTGGGGGGATGGGCTGCCCTGCCCCAGCAGTGATCACATACCGACCGTGGCCGAGAAGAGGACGATGCCCAAGACGTTCATTTCGTTGTTGCTCCCCGGGAGGGCCTGGTAGATCATTTCCGGGGAGGGAGTGATCTCCAGCAGGACAGGACGCTGGATCTCTGGGTTCCCGGGATCCGGCACCAAGTAAATGAAGCTGAAAGACGAGCTGGACTTCTTTGGGATCCCGGCGGATTTCACCACGGGGACAAGGACAGTCCGATACTGGAAGGCAAAGCAAGCGGGAAGATGGGCTGGGAATTTGCAGGGTGGGAATCTTCTCTGAGGCTTGCAGGCTGAGGACATCAGGTATGGCCCAAAGGGTCCAGAGCGCCCCCTCCCCCTCCCTCCCTCGCCCTCCACACTCATTTTTGCACCAGCCTTTTATCAGGGCCAATGATAGAGAAAGAAGAGAGAGAAGGAGGAGGAGGAGGAGGGGAGGGAGGGAGGGAATGGTGGACTCTCCTCATTAGGTTCAAACGTATCGTATCAAACTTATTCTGACAGAGGCACCTGTGAGAAAGAGGCACACTGAGGGTGGTGATGGTCTAGATCAGGGGTCCCCAACCACCGGGCCGCGGACTGGTACCGGTCCGTGGAACATTTCCTACCAGGCCGCCGGTTTGCTGGGCGCCACCATCTTGTTTGACGAGAAAGTGCTTCCGGGCGAGCTTTTCCAGTTGGAAAGCGGCGTTTGGGTCCTGAAGGAATCCTCACGCCTTAGTTTCATCGAAGAGGGGGGGGGCTTCGAACGAAACTAAGGCGCAAGGATTCTTTCAGCACCCAAGGGAAGGCGAGCCGAGCGACCGTCCCGAAGCCGTCCCGAAGCGAAGCCCATCGACAAAGGTACAAAGGAGGAGTTGAAGGTGGCGGGGAGAAGCGGGGGACGGCTGGCTGGCCGGTCGCTCGGCTCACCTTGCCTTGTCATGCGTGCTGATGCCGGTACCGGGCCGCGGATCATTTTGTGATGCCGGTACCGGGCCGTGGCACAAAAAAGGCTGGGGGCCACTGGTCTAGATGACCCCTAGGGCCCCCTTCGATCCACAATTCTATAGGCGATTGGCTCCTCCGTGGTGCGTCTGACTCTTTTTGCGGCGGGAAACTCAAACCAGCCCCAAAGGGGTTACTCAAATTCAGGGACTGGGGTGGAGTCCAGGTCAGAGTATCCCCTCCCCCAAGTCTAAGGGAGTAGCGGCGGAGCCCCCGGAGTGAAGAGTGGCCGGCCTGGGCCAGGAGCTCACCTGCTGGAAGGAAGCCTCCACCAGGTTGGAAGGGAACATATTTCTGCAGAATACAACAGAAAGAGGAAGGAGGGAGGGAGAATCAAACGCGTCATCAGTCTCTCCATGCGCACAAGAGATCTCAGTCCAGCCTGCCTTGAATTCATGCTAGTCTTATCTCCCGCTCATTTCCCTGGACCGGTGAGTTGGCCAGATTCTTGCAGAGAGATTAAGCTTGCAATACATTTTTATACCCATTTGAACCGCTCCCAACTGCTCTTTGACCATAGGGCCAGGCCTCTTCGTTTGGGTGGGGGGGAGTTCTGCCCGGTGGCACAGTGGGCGTGGCCTAGTCGGCCTCCTGCACCATCCTGGGAGTGAAAACGGGCTGTGGAGGGCCCCCCAAAACAGCCCACACGGGGACTTCTCGGGGGGGGGGGGTGGGGGGGGGCCAGCCAGTCATTGGAACGATTGGTTCACTGAACTGGACGTAAAATTAACACCTGGTTCACTCGAACCAGTGCAAACCGGCTGAGTACCATCCCTGGTTGGATCTCAACAGAGAGCCTCCCGCCTTGGGATGAAATCAAAATCTTGGTCCCAGGAGAAGACCCCCATTGGGACCCCCCACACCCAGCCACAGAAGCCTCAACCCATTTTCCCAGCGCTTTCGTGAAGTTGAAGTCGGAGGGCCCTATTGGAAGACCCTTAGGACTGTCAACCCTTCACCCTTTCCCTCTGCTTGGGGTCTTCACCTTCTGTCCTTCATCCCCCCACCCCCAATGAGGGGAAATCTTGACCTTTTAAACCATGGGACGAGCATTTAGCCGACCGGAGCTGCTGTGTAAAGGGAGGGCACGTTCTCTTTGGCCACCAAAGGTCTCCGGCGTTCCCAGCCAGGCAGTCTCTGCACCAGGGGCAAAGCCTTCGGCCAGGTCAAGCCAGGGCCTTAGCCGACCGCCCTGCCCTCCCTGCAGGATGCCCCTTGGGCACGGACAGGTAACCTCTGCCTCAACCCGAAGGGGAGCTGCCTTGCACCCACTTGCCCGCCGGGGGCCAAAGGAGGTCGGCCGGGCGTGGCTACCTGATGAGGTCCAGCAGGGCGTCGGCTGAGCTGAGCACCGCTTTGCCCACCAAGTGCTCCTCCTTCTGGGCAGCGGCGCCTGGATGGATGATGAGGACCAGCACGATGCCCGTGGTGACGGCCATGAAGGTGGTCCAGAGGTAATAGGTGATGGTCAGGAGGCCCATCTTCCCGCAGATCTGGGAGTCCATGGTGGCCAAACCAGACATCAGGCTGCGGGGGGCAGAGACAGGCGGGCAGAGGCTGGCAGTCAGCGCTCCAACAAACCCCCCACCCGCCCCCCTTCAAATAATAAGTCCTTCACCGCATCTCTCAGAGTAAAAACAATTGATTTATTAGAAGTGGCCATGCTGGCGTTAGCTGGGTGCAGCCGACACTAAAATACGTCAGTCATTTCCCCCTTGACCCTGGTCTTCCCCCCACCCCCTGGATGTATATTCTCCACTGGGACACATCCATAGCCAAGAGTCATCAATCACATTCTCCAATAATAATCTTGTGCACCAGAATCTTCGGCTGCCTAGCAGTTATCTGAAGCATTTAAGGAATGTGCTGCTTCCCCCCTCACTCCCTTTCTGCTGGCAGTTAAAAAGACCAAAGACCAATCTTTGTTTAGTGGACACTTGCAGGGGGACGGGGTGGGTGGGTGGGAGGCAAGGCCCGCTGGCCTGAGGGTCGTCTCTCTCTCTATGTGCTAAGGGGTTGGGTTGTCAGCAGACTGAGGTTAAAGAAGAAGGCAAGATGGCGGCTGCAACGGTCACAATCCGGCTCTCGAGCTTTCTGGTCATGCCCTGCAGACAGTTGGTGGGGGGGGGGGAGAAACCTGCCTCTATCTCCTCCTGGGGGCTTCCCAAAGGCTATCTATGGGTCACCCGGAGGTTTTTAAGAAGGGACGGGAGGGGCATTTGTCTGAAATGGTCTAGGGCAGGGCTCTCCAGCCTTGGCCCCTTTAAGACTGGTGGACTTCAACTCCCAGAATTCCCTCAGCCACCAGTCTTAAAGGAGCCAAGGTTGGAGAGCCCTGCTATATAGGCCTCCTTCTTAGACATGGGGTTGGACTAGAAGACCTCCAAGATCCCTTCCAACTCTATAAAACTAACGGTGCCTTTGTGCTGAACAGAGGAGAGAGAATAGGAAGGGTCTCGGGTGGAAGACAACTGAAAGGGGAATAAATAAACGAAATGTTGAGGATGGCTCCCCTCCCCGTGCAGACAAAGCCCAGGGTCCCAGGTCTCCCCCACCCGCTCCAAATCTCTGAAGCCTAGATGGCTGAGACCTGATCCTGGCTACCTCAGGTGACCGGCCTCCTTCGTCAGACGGATCTAATCTCCGGAGGCTGATCTCCGGAAGGGAAAACAGACGGGGGGGGGGGGAGGAGAGCCAGGCTAATCGAAGGACATTAAGCAGTGGGGAGGGGGAGGGGGAGGGGGGAGGCCCGCAGGTGGGGTGGCGGGAGCAGGCCTTGGCTGACCTCCAGGAGCTGCGCTGGGCCTTCAGAAGGGAAACCAACCTCCTTCTGTCGGCCCCGGACAGCGGATGGGTGGGAGGGGGCTCTGCCACCAGGAGGAGATTGCACAGCCCGGAGGCAAACTGGGGTTCAGGGGGGAGGCCGTTTGGTCGAGTGGTGAAGGCACCAGGCTAGAAACTGGGAGTTCTAGTTCCGCCTCGGGCATGAAAGCTGCATGGCTGATTTGGGGCAGTCCCTCCCTCTCACTTCAACCCTCTTCGCAGGGTTGTTGTTATGGGGAAAATGGGAGGAGGGAATATTAGGTATGCCGGCCACCTGTAATTATTTATAAAAATAATAAAAGGCAGGATTAAAAAATAACCTTAAAAAAGGCTTGGGTTGTATTCGAACATTGCAAAGGAGCGAAGTTCCTGGTTGGTGGACCTCAGGGTCTCTGCCAGAGGGCCAGAAGACAGAGGGAACCAACCCAGGCCTGACCGATGACTGGCTAAGCCAGAGGTCCCCAAGCTTGGCCACTTTAAGACTTGCGGACTTCAACTCCCAGAACTCCCACAGCTGGCTGGAGAGTTGTAGGTCTATGTAGTCGAAGTTTTCTAGAAATTTAGAAGTCTATGTAGGAGTTAGTTGACATTTTCTAGAAGTCTATGTAGTTGAAGTTTTCTGGAAGTCTAGAAGTC